GTGTAGGCCCATGTTTCCTACACCTCTGTCCAGCACTGCAGGTAAAGAGACCCCAGCCCTGAGCTGGGCTCTTCAGCTCTCGTGTCATATTTTGCAACTGAGTAAGGAGGGTACCAGGCATGTGCCTCTGTGTCAGAAGAAAGTCCAGGTGTCCACTGTACAGTGATCAGGACATGGAAGTGTATACCTACCTCTCCTTAAATCCCACCCTCTACCTACTGGAAATGTCTCCTGATGCGGGTATTGAAGTGCCCTGACTTCAGCTCAGTCGAGACCTGTTGGCAAGAACTCACATGGAAATCTTGGAGCGTGCAGGTTATGATGGGAGATTGCTGAGCAAATAGCCCTGGATTTTTAAAATGTGTCTGCCCTGTTGGCAAAGACTACTTTCCCATAAAAGCGTTGGCAGAAGGAAAGGCGTACCTGAGCCCCAGCTGCTGCTTTTCCTTACCTTGGCCTCTGATGCTGTGGTTTTGTATTACACATTGTCTAATAAGAGTTCCTTCCAAATGATTTTCTTTTCGGTGGCTTCTTGGCTTTTCCTTTTGCCTTGAATTGGACTTGGCAATTGTCTCGCTAGTGGCTGATCTAGTAAAAATTATTCTTTTATTTCCTTTCTGTGTTTTGCAGTGTTAGTGTTTGCCAACTCTTCCAGCTGAAGGGTCTCACCCAATGGCTGTTGGGGCTGGCGTGAGAACAGGCAGGAAGGAGCTTGAGGCAGTGGGACAAGGGAGGAGTGGGACAGCTGCTTTCCACAGCAGTGCTCTCTTATTATATTAGATGTGACCTGACAGCAAAAATTTACTTCAAAGCCATTTTTATCAGCCATCTAGACCAGTACATCCTGGGTGAAATGTTTCTTTTAAAAAAAATAATTCAGATCTAGCTCACCTTGGCTTGATCTGCTGAGATTGCTCTGAGGCCTGGCCACCTGACAGCTGCACACTCTGCCAAGGGGTTCTCCAAAGTGGTCACGGAGTAGGACATTGGCCAGATGAAGGGCCCTCAGTCACACCTCCCTCTCGCCATGGTCATTTGATCTAGGAGCACTGTGTGTTATGGGTCCATTCCATGATCGGTATGTTGGTGGGTGGTAATGGGTGGTAGCACAGCCTTCCACAAAGCAGCAGTACCTGCAGATTGGAGTGCGATGATGCCATGCCCCAGGTCTCATATATTCTCATTATTCTCACAACTAAGGGTTTGGTGGATGAGATTGGGATCCCTTCAGGCTGTGGTGCTACCTGGAAATGGAGAAAGGCAGACACAGATGCATCAGAGTGCATACAAAATGCAGAAAAGCCTTGCTAACAGGTATGTCAGATCTATTACAGTCCTCTGGCAGTCCTTAATGAATGGACTTACCTTGCTTGTACACAGGTACTTGGGGCAGAGGTGGCCACATTATCATCAAAAATAAAGAAACCCCCACAAAAAGTGTTGGAGTGAGCAGAAAGGGAAGTGTCTTGGAAAAGCAGGCAGAAATTAGCCCAGCATGTGGGGAAAGCAGATGAGGTTCTTGCAAAAGGAAGCTGCAGCTGCTGCGCAAGTGCTTTAAATGAATGAAGCAATTGAACTCTGTGAGGAAACCTGCCCAGCCTGGCTTTCTCAAGGGAGAAAAGAGGCAGAACACTTTAGTTTTGACTATAAAATGGGCTTAAGAAAGGGGTATCCTGTTGCTCAGTCTGATCAGGACTAGCATACTTTTGGACAAAAAGGAACTGTGAGAATTTCATGAAATAAAGCATCTGTAAAGCTTCTAAGTTAGGGGCAGCTGAGTGAGCGTTTCTGGACTTTGTTTTACAGGTTTAAAAGAAAAGTGGTGAAGTGTATGCACATTTTCAACACTCCGTTAAAGATGCTGCAAGATGAAGCTTAGCGGTGAAAGCCCAAAACTAGATCTTACTTGATGAGTTCATGTCTTGAAGCTTAAAATAACCAGCAGACTGGCTGTGTATCATAGGATAATTAAGCATGGAAAAGACTTCTAAGATCACCTAGTCCAACTGTGTAGCACTAGCTAGTGGTATCTTAGTGAATGTGGTTGCCTTCCACTCAAGCAGGGGGAAGCATTCACAACCCTTTTGAGTAATATTGGCTTCAGTTCTGCATGAAGTTTCTTCCCAGCTTCAGTTCAGGGGCTGCAGTATCAGGGCTACAAAAATTGGATGAGCGTGATTCCCCTGAGAGCTGAGCTAGGTAACAATTCACACAGGGACATGAGGATGCAGGGGCTCACTCTAACTTCCCCTAACCAGCAATAGAGGGATTATTTCTGGACACTGACTTTTTTTTTTTTTTTATGAGGTACAGTACAGCCTTTCTGTAACATGGTGGAAAATAGCAGAGAAGCCTATGATGAGAAAAGTTTTGAGTGAACCAATCCCCATCTTGCTTGTTTCTTTCTGCCTAGGAAAGCATTGGGGGTGATGCAGCCTCCCTAAGGGACAGTTGTTTCCTTCAACTCCTCTGCACAGCACTTCGTGTAAGCAGCACCAGCTCCCAACTTCCACTTACCAAGGGTGCTTACTCTGTAGCTGAAGGAAGATGCTGAAACAGTCCATGCCAGCACAAGTCCCTTGGATTTCTCTATGCCTTCCCTGAAGCCCTGACAAGCTCAAACCTCAAAGCCATGTTAGCAGCATCCCCCGTGGGACCTGCTACAAGGGAGATCAAGGTGATTCTTATCTCCAAGTCAGTTTGCACTGTTGCAACATCTTTGACTTCAGCTCAGGTCACGAGCTTACATAGCTGCATCACCACAGCAACCTGCGATTCAGATCACAGCACGCTCTGCAGCAATGTTTCTTCCCATGCAGGGTCCCCCAAGTGTTCACGCTGCTGCCCAGCTCTCCCCAGCCTACGTCACCACAGCTGCTCCTTCTCTGCTGCTGGCTTGGGCGGTGTGCTCAGGGTGCTCACATCCAACCACACACAAGGCAGCAGAGCAGATGCTGCAGTGCCTTGCACAGTGCTTCTCTCCCTCCCGGAGGGAAGAACGATAGAGAGAAGCCATCAGAAGAGAACAGTGCAGGAGATGCAATTCCCCATGGTGGACAGATCACCATACTGAATTACCATTCTCTTCTGAAAAAAAACCACTAGGTTTACTAGTATGAGCAGTATTTTTCCCCTAAGTTCTCAGCTGCTGCAGCAGCACCCAGCTACCAGCTTTGCTCTGATCTGAAGGGTAGTTCTTTGCTTCTCCAAGGCTGCAGACCAGCCTGTGGGGGTTGGTGAACTCCACTAAGAGAAACCCATGTCTTGTGCTTTGCCTTTCTCAAGAGGTGAGACCATGCTTTGCACTGAATCCACTCACAGATTTTCGCTTTGCAGCTTCTGGCGTCACGGCTGTTTAATTACTTTAATTACTCTGAAGATTCAGAAGCTGGTTGAAATTGAGTTAATTGTAGATTTTTCACTCTAGTCCTTTTAGAAAACAAACTGCTACAGAGAGTGGAGCCCATGCTGTGTGCAACCTTTATCTTGAACCATAAGAAACAGGAAACCTCTGTGGGTTTTCTTGCAGCAACCTGACATTTATAGCTACTTTCAGAGCAATAGTGAATGAGATTATGCAGTCATGAACCCCATGAAGCACAGCTCTCAGAGGAGTAAAATTTATCAGAGAGGCTCCAGTTCACTTCAGTGTGCATTTGAAAGAGAGCCACCTCCATCTGCAAATGGCCCATTGTTTACCTGCTTTTCTTCCCAGTGGTTGGTCTGTTTTCATCTCCACTGGCGTGCTAGGCAAACTGGTACCAACCCTGCGCCTTGAAAGTTGGAATCAGCTCCAGGGAGCAGCAGGAAATCTCTTTAGGTGTGCCAGGGACGTGTGCTTCCCTGGCTGCACATTCATGACTTGCCAGTCCTCTCCTCACTGTTATCCAATGGGATTCCAAAGAAACAAAATCCACCTTTCCTCCCACTCAGGCAGGCCAAGAAAAGGCTGAGAGTTATGAGCTCTACCTCTTGCCTCTGTCTCTCCATTGCCAGCCAATGTCTGTACCATAGCTGCCCTAATCCCACTGAGCTCAGGAAGCACCCACTGTGTGGGTTGTTTCAGAGGAGCCTTTCTTCATGCACTGCATTCTGATGGTCATGTCTGCCTGCCTACTGAGGGTTAAAAATGAAAGAAAAGTGGCCATGAGAGGATGGTTCGGTGTATTTACAGTTTTGCTATTTTCTTTTCTTGCTTTCCTTCTGTCTTTCCTTCCATCTTTCATTCTTTTTCTTTTTATTTCTCTCTTTCATTCTTAAAACCATAGAATTTTGAGTTACAGGGCACCATTTAAAGGCCATTTAGTCCTTTAGTGCAATGAACAGGGACAACTACAGCTGGACCAGGGTGCTCAGAGCCCCATCCAACCTGACCTTGAGTGTCTGCAGTGCCTCAGCGTCCTTACTGCAAAAAAACTTTTTCCTTATATCTAATCTAAATCTCCTCTCTTTTAATTGGAAACCATTTCCCCTTGTCCTATCACAGCAGACCCTGCTAACGAGTCTGTTCCCTTCTTTATTACAGTTTTCCTTTAAATACTGAAAGGCTCTTTCTTTTCTTTCTTTTCTTTCTTTTATTTCTTTTCTTTTTTTTCTTTTTCCTTCTCCCTCCCCTTCTCTTTTTTTTTTTTTTTCCTTTTCCCCCCCCCCCCCCCTTCTTCCTTTCTTCCTTTCTTTCTTCCTCCCATATTCTCTTTCTCCCTTTCTCCCTTTCTTCCCCCCTCTCCCCCTTTCCCCCTTTCTTCCTATTTAAAATGTGAGAGCTACCTTTGTCAGGGTAAGAAAAGCAAGGAAAAAGATCTGAAGAGCATATAACATTTTTAAAGACTTGTTAGGTATGATTTAGCAAAGGCATGTATTTATTGCTATTGAACTTTTTACTTGAACAGCAATTAAGGCTTTTTGTTGCAGAATAATTTGGACTTCAGGAATTTCTGAGAAACATAAGAAAACTATGAAAAGCCGTAGTTCTTTCTAAAGGAAAAAAATAAAAACCACACTTTGATGAAAAAGTGATACATTTTATTTTTTTTTAATATTTGAAACTCTTTTTCTGTTAAAGTGCAGAACACTTGAAAATTTGGCCTCGTGTCAGTGGCTTTTGAAAAGTAGTTTTACATCCAAATCTCAGGTCCTTTGACTCCTAAGCAGTGAACTTGTGAGATGAACAGCCAATAAACTATGCATGGGTTTATTAATCTCCTCTTGCCTGTATATAATGTGGATCATTCATCATGTACCTCCCAAGCAGCCCTAGTGATTCATGAGCTTGTACACAGTGCAGAGATGTCTTTGCTTCCACCATGACAGATACTGAAACTGAAGCTGAAAAACAATAAACCCCAAAAAGGAAAAAAAAAAAAAATAAAAATCATAACAATATTGCTTTTTATTTTGTCTTAGAAGTCTAAAGGTTTTGTACAAGCAAACCTGCAATTCTGAAGGTCAGACACAGCACATCAGGCCCTTTCCAGAAGGAACAACCAGCAGGTACCCCAAATGTACGTTTGTGTTGAGGAACAGCAGCATGGACAGGCTGCAGTTCACTGGGCCCATGCAGCAGCTCAGGGCAGGAGCTCGGGGTCGCTGAGGACCTCTCCAGTTTCAGATCTGCACAGGAAACACATGATGCTCTTTTCTAATTTCTAAATGACTTGTGCAACCTCTCTGCTTAACAGCCTGCGGCATGACCACGGAGAGGGACTTCCTGCCCAGTTGCAAGAATGATTTGGACACCAAAGCTCCTTCTGTGTAGTCTTTGGTTCTTTTTTTTTTTTCTTTCCTTTAGTTTTCACCACAGTAAAGTGAAGCCACAAAGTCCATACATTACAGGCAGTCAAGCAGCTATTTGTAAAACAAGTAATGCAATTCCAAATGCATTCAGATATGGTAAACATAAAATCATAATTAATACCAATTGGAGAAAAAGAAAAGAAAGGATAAAAGAAGGGAAAAAATGCTAAAAAAACTGAAAAGTATGTTGATTTTTGTCAGCAAAGAGAAAGCAACCATTGGAATAAAAATCTCTAAGTTGTTCTTCAAAGCCAAGGTGAGACAGTGTGCAGAATGGCTGATGTCTTCCTGCAGGCCGTATGGGAGCTGCAGCACCTGGCCACACTTGCCAGAGATGTTACTGCATCCTACCAGGCTGGAGGGAGCACCAGTGCTGCAGGAACTCTTCAACAAGACCCCAAGAGGATCCTGAGCATGTTTAATGTCCATGGCTGTACCAGGCGCTTCCTCAGGCTGCTCTTTGCTAGACCCTGCCAATGTGCTGCCAAGTTGTTGGGCTCTGGTTCTGAGGGCAGAAAGCAAAACAGCTTTTCAATCAGCAATGTCTGACAAGCAAGGAGGCAGTGAGATCAGTTGACTGCTGATGGTGATATTTCCCATGTTTCCTCATTCTTGTCTCCAGCATTCTCCGAAATATGTTGGAACTGTTGAATTTTAAATGTAGACATTTTGACTGCCAAGATAGTTTACATTAAGAATAATGACTCAGCGATTTTTCACCAGGAAAAAAAAAAAAAAAAAAAAGAGTATAATTAAAATAGGTTCTAAAAACAATTTAGATATTTTGCAATACCACAAGAATGTGGTGGTTTATTATATCAGGTTCGTCAGGTTACAATCATTCCTGTACACGTTAGTTCTCGGGTTCCTGTACACTGCTTGTGGCAAGCTTACTGCAAATGTCCGCTGCTTAAAACTGAGACAATTTTACAGAAAACCTCGTTTTATATGTATATATATACATATATATGTATATATAGTATATACTTCTAAACTTTGCCCCTAGCTAGGCCTTCTGATCTCTCAACAATTTCAGAAGTAGGAAATTCTCTGAAAAAAGAAATGAGAAATGGTGTGGTGGCCAGTCTCAGTTCTCTCCGTGCTCCAAAACCAACCCAAGCAAGAAATCAGCCTCTCACAGGAGAAGGTGCGAGTGCTCCAGGAAGAACCAGGTTGCCAAACAGCAGTTCCAGGTCACTAATACAGTATTTGGAAACTTTGGAAAACCATGGCTTGTGAGATTAGTGGTATGTGTCAAGGCTCTCTGTGAGACTGTTTTTTCCATGTGTTTTATGTTTTTAGAAGAGGGGAATCCTGGAAATCTAAACTTCAAAATCACATTTCACCTTGGTCCCTCCAAATAAATCAAAGAGCAGGGGCAGCCAACTTAACAGAACTATAATGAGTGACTGACTTGTTAATAAAGTTGAAGCTATTTGAACTCTTAATGAAATGGCCAGTCTAACCGAGGCCTTCCATTCCTTTCTTTCAACAGTAGGAATAAGTAGCTTTGATTTTAAGAAAAATACAAGATACAAAAATGGCAGAATAAGTATGAAGGACTAGTGAGTCAGTAATGCTTTCAGTTAAATTAATTAGGAAAATCCAGTTGAAATCCCTGGAAATTTAGTCTTCGTGAGATATGCTAAGCATGTTTTATCTGGATATTTTCATTGTTTGTCTAGTCAGTTGGTTTGTTCTGTTGTGTTTGTTTTTAATAAAAACAACCACATATAATTCTCACATAATCAAATACACACAAAACACACCTGGAGCTTTCCATTCTCACCTCCACCAATTGCATATGCTTTCATCAGAAGATACTGTTATGCTGGCACAGAAACTTACATCCAGTCTGACAAGATTTGGGGCAATTACCAAGCCCAGGAGTTCCTTGTGAAACAAAACGGATTCGGACATACCCACCTGAGACTGTCAACAGCACATGGTTAGATGGCCAGAGACACAGCACACCTCTACTAAGACTTCCTTTCCCTGATGCACAAGCAAGAGCTGTATAAACAGCCCAACTGCTGTAAGATTTCAGCTTCTAAGGCTGGAGCATCATTTCTTCTTTCTCAAAATGCTGTTGTGTTTTGTGTTGGGTTTTTTTTGTTTGTTTTTTGTTTTACTCAGAAGAGAATAACTTCAGAAGGACAAACTGGAAAAGATGCATGTACTAGTTTCAGACAGAGCACTTGAGGATGTGGCAGATTTTGGTTCACACCCATGTGTAAGTAAGAGAAAGTGAAGGATTTGAACCTTATCTGTGCCCTACAGCAGTGCAATATTTATCAAGTCTGGATTGCAACATACTACCAAGATCAGTTGGTGTTTCACTTCAGGAGTTCTTTTCCCTGTGGATCTTCTGTGGATTTTGTTTCTATGATGTTTCTTTCACTAGCTGGATCCATCCTACTCTTCTGGACTGAAGGACTCATTCCAGAACTAGTAACAACATCTTTCCCTTTCTTTACAGCCTGCTCAAAGCAGGGGAAAAGTAGAAATTTTGTGAAATTCAGATAACATCAAGCTTTGGCTTGTCTTTTTGTGACTGAGGAGTCGTGTTGCCAGCACAGGGGAAAGCTTGGTGGTCAGAGTGGAAGGTCCTTGTACCAGGACTCTGAGCTCCTTAGGTTGGAGAAAATTGTCAGGGTGAAATACATCAGCTGTCTCAAAATTTCCTACAGCAGTCAGCACCAACTGCTGCAATAAGGGTGTCAAGTCTCCATAATAGGCAATTGCATGAATTATCATGCCTGGGGAGCAGCTTTCATTCTTTCTCCCACCTTGTCCAATTTTTGTTGTTGAAGTTTTTTTTTCTGTTCAGTTCCAGTTCCAGCTGCAACCAAGCTCCTCTGAGATCTCTGTGAGACATCAAATCAATAAAATCACATCTGTTAAAAAGTAGTGAAGAACACATGAAAGAAAAAAGAACGGCAAGACAGGTGCGCTCATGACTGCCAAAGACAAGTGCTTCAGTCTTTTTCTTAGGTTGGAATAAGCGGCAGCTTCCTACAGTTTTACCAACTACTGCATGTCTTTGTGAAGGATTTTTACATTGTCAGATAGAGAGCAGTCTGTATTGGATGCATCTTCTTATACTGTGATACCAGCAGCACTTGAATGATGTCAGGACTTAGCCAAGATGTCCAGAGGTGCTTCTTAAGGTTAGATTCATTACTGATGCCCCAGCTAAGACCAGAAGTGTATGTTCTTCAACTTGATGGCTGAATCACACTCTGCCTAAAAGACATTTTTCAGCTTGTGTGACTTTTTTTTTCTAAAGAATTTTTATTTGCTTGCTACAAAAAAAAATATTCTAACTAAAAGGAAATGCTGTCTTGTTTTCAAGATTTTAATCCCTTCATTTTTAACAATTATTCCAATTATTTAGAAAAACATGTAAAAGTATAATATGCTTTTTCTATCTGAAGGAATCACCAGTTCTATAAAATTCTAGGTATAGTTACTGTCTTCCTAAAAAACATAATTTTGATGAATAACACATCTTTCACCAAAGTATCTGAATATTGCCTCCTTTACAGAAAATGTTGACTGCTTTTCGTCTGCAAGCTGTTACTTCTTGGTTTAATCAAAAAGGCCACCCAAAACATTAGAACTCTGGCTGTTACTCAATACATGTCTTTGCAGGCTGGCAATGGCTTTATGACAGGTACACAACTCTCTTGTTACTTAATGCAGAATAATGGAGATTTAGATAAAAATGTTCCATGGGGGACAGAAGAAGATCATTGAATAATGAATTTATGACTCAGAAAACATTCCATAGCATCAACCAAAAATAAAACAAAGAAGGAAACAAAAAGACATGGAACATCAACTAAATTTATCATTGAGAGCATGCAGTTCAGTGCTGATTGGAAAAAACAGTCACATCACTTGGAAAGTTGTCATGCTGCTGGAGTGGACAGAAGGATAGTGCTCAGCAGGATCTTTGATGGCACTCATGCATGGCTGGTGGCAGATGCTGGCACAGGAACAGCTCTGGGAGACAGCAGGCAGCCCTGGTGGAGTGGGATGCAGACTTCCTCTGACAGAGTGCTCAAATCAGCACCCTCAAAGCCACCAAGAAGAGTCACCATCACCTTGGGGAGAAGGACCTTAAGAAAAGTGGGACACCAAGCTTTGCCAAGTGCACAACTGAAGCTCCCCGTCATCAACATTGCATGCAAAGTAGGAAAGGCACAACTCAGTATGACTGAGCTCCCCTAGAAGAGGAGTGGCCAGCAGCAACAGGGAGGTGATTGTCCCCCTCTACTCTGCTCCTGTAAGGCCCCATCTGGAGTACTGTGTCCAGGTCTGGAGCCCCCAGTACAAGAAAGACAAGAAGCTGTTGCAGAGGGTCCAGAGGAGGGCCACAAAGATGATCAGGGGACTGGAGCACCTCCCCTATGAAGACAGGCTGAGGGAGCTCAAGTGACCTCATTGCAGCCTTTCAGTACCTAAAGGGAGCCTACAAACAAGAGGGGAATCGACTCTTTTAAAAGGTTGATAACTTCAGGACAAGGGGAAATGGTTTTAAGTTGAGAGAGGGAAGATTTAGGTTGGATGTGAGGGGGAAGAGAGAGTGGTGAGGTGCTGGAATAGGCTGCCCAAAGAGGTTGTGGATGCCCCGTCCCTGGAGGTGTTCAAGGCCAGGTTGGATGGGGCCCTGGGCAGCCTGGTCTAGTATTAAATGGGGAGGCTGGTGGCCCTGAGTGTGGCAGGGGCTTGGAGATTCATGATCCTTGAGGTCCCTTCCAACCCTGGCCATTCTGTGATTCTGTGAAACATCTCTCTCTCATCAAATCTACATGGGACCTCTGGTCTTTGTGCTCGTAAATGTTGCTCTTCAGTCAAAGTTTGGTTGGGATGGCTATAGAATCAAATCTTAATTTAATAATTTCTATGGGTCTGATAACTGTGTCTCTGTTAGATCTCCCGTTTTTGTCCATAGCTCATCTCAGCTATAAGATCTTTGTAGTAGCATCTTTCATTACATGATTGCATGGTATCTGTGACTGCAGAGAATGTAATTAATTAATTTAACTCAGATGGAACTTCACTGTGCTGAATAATGGCAAAGAGGTATAACCTCTAAACAAATAATCTGCTATTTGATTTTAATTAATGTCCGGTGTACTGTGATAGTTCCTCTTTGAAGCTTTGAATTGTATCATTTCTTTATGAAAATCCCAATTACCTGAAAAGAGAAATTTACCAATTGCTGTGTTCCTGTGCTCTGTAATCTCTCCGAAAGCCTTGCAGGAACCCTTCCTTTCAGCTGGGACAACACTTTGTATGTTTCTGTGTGAACTGTTGCTAAAAGAAAGGTGCGTTCTCAGGCTGTAGAGCTGACACACACTTTCTTTGAAAAACAAAACAAAACAGATCTGTCTGTATTCAAGATGCTTTAAAATTGCCTTGCCAGTATGTTAAACTCCATAGAAAAATGAACAAAGGATTTCTTACTAGAAACGCTGTAAATTATATTTTCTTTTGCTTACCGCCAAGAGAGAAATTAAGAAGACATTTAAATTGAAAATAAATTACATGGAAAAAAATGAATTGAATGTTCATGAAACAAGATGGTTCGATAATATTATCATACTTAAAGTTCATGGTAGACAGCTCTGCTATGTTTCTTTATGGGACTTCTGATGTAAATTTCCTCCCCCACCAGTTCTAATGAACTGCACATATATATACTTTCCCATAAAAACAAAACAGAACAAAAATCACCATTTAATTGCCTCTCAAGTATGGCTACTCTTGTGTCTGGATGCTCTGCTTATGTAAGTATCTTTCTGGTGCTGTTGCTAAAAAAGGTGATCACAGTTGCAAGATCAGCTCTGAAGGTAGCTGTGTAAATTATATCAGAGATTATTCCTTCTCTTTGAGGTAGGAGGTGTATTTCTCATTCCCCATGGTTTGTCAGCCCTCTAATCAGCCCCACAAGCACAGTGGTGGTTATTCACAGCAGGACCAGCAGGTCCCTCCCACACACAAAAGGCTGAGGCAGGTAACAGCACGTTCTGCAGAAAATGTAGATAACATTGCAAAAATGCTGTTCGCCTTCCTTAGCTGATTGACTAACAGAAAAAAAAATAAAATACTGTGTGAGCAGAAATTTAGATTACAGTCTCCTTTTCCTGAAAGTAAGCTTGGAATGGGGCTCAAATCAAATCCCTCCACACCAGTTAATCAGGAGTTTCTGCAGAGAATCAGGCACTTGAGGTCTGTCTATCCCAGAAATACCTGCAGGGGGTGTGGCACCATGGATTGATGGATGATTTCCACTTGGATCAGTTGAGTCCCTTCTCTTTTCCCATCTGCCTTGGTGACTCTGGCAGCCACTGATAGCTGTTGAAAGGTTCTCACCAGGAGTGTGTGAGGCTGTGCCACCAGTGGCAGCACCTGTGAGAAGTTTATGCTTAGTCAGCAGGGAGAAACTTTGGTGCATGGCTGAAAGCAGGAAAGTTGAGCTGGCAAACTAGAGGGACTCATATAGCCCCTGGTAGGAGACCAGATAGACACCAGGAGCTGTCCCAAAACATGAAGCCTCCTGGAGATTTCTGGTTTGCCTGAGCATACAGTGAGAGCAAAGGTTCCTACTGGCTCCCCAGACAATCTCCCGGGATGAACAGTGTGCTCACACTGCTGTTGGAGAGCCCAAAACACCACAAGCAAAGGGACATAAGTCAGAAAGGACTGAGGATCTCCAAATTCTAGCCCAGAAAACAGCTGAATATGCTGTGAGACATGAGCCAAGCCCAGCACTTGGGAATACTGCAGAAAGTGAATTTGCTGATAAATGACAAACATTTACTGACACCCACAGAGAGTGTATATTGTGGGAGAGGGGAAGGCGATGCCACAACTGCTGGGGCTCTGCCTGGGACCAGTGGATTACACTGTAGCAGAAGATGCCTGGGGTATCAGTGCAAAAACAATGGAAATATTTCCTCCTTTTGAGCTGTGTGTTGGTCCATGATAATGTTGTCACCGTGACAGTGACATTGAAGGAAAAGCCGTGGTCAGTAGAGCATAAACATGTGGAACTCGGGGCGCACAGTGTTGCTGTTTATCCTCACCGGGGCATTCTGTGAAATCCGTATTACTGAAGCAGCAACAGCACACAGGGGAGGAGGAAGCAGCAGTTGCTGTATTTGGAATGTATCAGTTTCCAGGTCTGTTTAGGAGTTTTCTTTCGTTTGATAGACATGGGGCCAAAAAAAAAAGTGTTCGAAATGACAGAGTTCAAGGACCACAGTAGTGCAGCCCACAACCCCCCACACAGGGGCTGAGAGAGTTAGCTGGGTAACTCACTGCCTCTTCACTCATGGCAGAGGGGCCAGAACTGGACACCTGAGGGAGAAAAGTGGGTCCTCTCATTGCATAGACCCCAAAGGATAAAAAAAGTACAAAGAAAATATTTTGCACCATTCAAAATAGGAGTCACTTCTGCAGAGGTGGCTGGTACTAAATATATCCTAGCGCTTGATGCATCAGCAGGGCTCTGGCAGGGGCCCTCAAATAAACACTGCAGATCACTGTGGACACTCAGCTTTTCTCTGGGAATTCTTTTGGGCTCCTTTCATACCAAAAGGGAAATGAGTTTGGAGAGAGCTATGCTTTGTAGCAGAGCATGGCACCAGGTCACCGGCATCCTTGGAAACAGCTGTGGTGGCTGCTGTGTGTCAGAGCTCCAGCAAAGATTCAACACTGATCAACAGTATTGGAGAGGGCACCTTTGGCTTCAGCCCCTCACATACAAACTATTTTAACTTTGCCTGTGAGAAGCCACTGTTAAATGAATCTGCCCATAAATCATTTCTTGCCCCTGGTGAATACAGAGGTGATT